GCCCACTGTGCCCTGCTCCACCACCCCGCACCCCACCCCGGCTCCCCTGGGCAGGCTGGGACACACGGGGGGCTGGGCTTGTGTTGTTCCCAGCTCCCAGTGCGGGAGTGGGGGTCCTGTCAAAACCACGAGCCAGGGAACCCCTGGATGTCCCAGGCACTAGGACCTTACTGGGCAGAGATCAGCCGGCCTGACCCTGTCACAGCCCTGAGCCTTGGAGCACTGCAGGGCATGGGCCATTTGGCCAGTGTGTCCCCAGAGCTGCCAGCCCCAGCTGGCCCTGGCAGTGGTGACTGGTACAGGCTGCAGGTGTGAGAGCACAGCCTTCGAGGAGGCTCTGGGAATAATTCCCTCTCAATGGCAGCATGGAAAGATGCAGCCTTTTCTGGACCTGGAAGCTGGATGTCAATGGCACCAGGGACCCCAAACCGTGGCGCTCATGCTCCAAACCCCTCTAGGGACTTTGTGCCCCACATCCCACCGGGAACCTCTTCCTTGCCTGGGGCAGGAGGCTCTTGCCTTGGTGCTCTGGAGCAGAAAATGGGGGTGCAGGAGAGGACACTGATCCAGGGGAGTCCAGCTCCATGCTGGGAACCTGCCCCACAACTGCATGTTCAGTGGGCAGCGAGCAATGGTCTGTGCCCCCGGCACAGGGGGAACCCTGGCCCCATTGCCTGGGTGATGCTGACAGCTCTGGGGCTATTTTTAACCCCCTCATTGCTGAGTTGCCCTGAGCGGGGTGTGCTGGGTGGGAGAGAGACACCCTCCTGCCACAGCTCCAGTGTCCCTCCTGAAGGGCTTGAATTTCCATCCCAGCCTCAGCCCCACGTTAATCCCAGCCTTTAGCCAATAAAGCTCTGGCTAAATTAGGTAAAGGCGCCGGTTGCCAGTGAGCGGGGCCGGGTGCCGCCAGGGTGCTGATAGGCTGCAGGGGCTGGGGGGCAGCAGCTGGGGGCACAGCCCACAGTGGCGACACTACAAATTGGGGTGCCAGGGGCATCACAGAACTTCTGGGAGTTCCTGCTGCAGGAGCTGGTGGTTCTCTGGGGGTGGGAAGCACCATAAATTCCCACGATGGTAAGTGCTCCTGTGTGTTTTGTGCTGTGTCTGGACAACACCCCACCGGGCAGGAGGCACCGGGCAGCGCATTGCCCTGGGGGATCTGCGCTGCAGAGGTGCCTCTGCAGAGGGCAGTGGGGAGACAGTCCCCGGGGCTGGGCTGAGGTGTTGAGGACAAGAGGTATTGGGGTGGTGCCGGGTCCCCACGGTGTATGCCTGGGGGGACTGTGAGCTGCCAGGGGGTTGCTGGTGCCTGGGGACACCGGCTCTGCCCCGTCCGGAGCTCGGGGCTGCGCAGAGGCAGCGGCAGAAGCAGAAGGGGGTGGCTGAAAGCCGAGCGCTGGGTCATGCGACACGGTGTTGCCGCTGACTCTGCGGCCGAACTGCGCCTCCAGGAGAAACTCGATCAGGGCTGACAGGTGCCGCGGCTGCAGCCCTGACAATCCCTACAAGGGGAGCTGAGGAGATCCCAAAAATAGTGCTGCATGCCTGGGATGCCAAGGTTGCACACGGGGACCCATGGGCCCCACACCATGGAGCCCCCCAGATAGTGGGGGGCCTCAGGCAGGTGGCTACCCACAGCCAACCATCCTCATGGATGTCCAGGAGGCACTGAAAATGCAGAGATTGCTGGAGGCCATGGCTCACCCCAGCATGTCATCATCCTGCAGTGGGGCAGGGCTCTCCCCACAGCCCTGTGGCATCAGGCTGTGCTGTGCACGGTGTCTCTGTTCCGATGTGGGTGGCTGTGGTGACCCTTCTCCCTTGCCTTGCAGACGGACCAGCAGGCAGAAGCCCGCGCCTTCCTCAGCGAGGAGATGATTGCGGGTGAGCATGGGGGCAGTGGGGAGAGGGCCAGACATGGCCACAGCACAGGGCCTGGCTCTGCCGTACTGCCCGGCCCTAACCCACCTCTCCACAGAGTTCAAAGCCGCCTTCGACATGTTTGATGCGGACGGTGGTGGAGACATCAGCACCAAGGAGTTGGGGACAGTAATGAGGATGTTGGGTCAAAATCCCACCAAAGAAGAGCTGGACGCCATCATCGAGGAGGTGGACGAGGATGGTGAGCAGTCCTTGGTGGTGGGTGACAGGGGTGGGCACTAGACAGGGTGGGCAGCCAGACCCACACTGAGCTTCCTCCCCCCAGGCAGTGGCACCATCGACTTCGAGGAGTTCTTGGTCATGATGGTGCGCCAGATGAAAGAGGATGCCAAGGGCAAGTCTGAGGAGGAGTTGGCCAACTGCTTCCGCATCTTTGACCGGTGAGTCGGGGGGCAAAGTGGTCCATCCTGCCCATGTG